CATGTTGTCAGAGAAGGATAGCTGGTGCATCTGTCTTGAAGTTGTGCTGCTTTGCACTATACAACATAAAGAAAAATCTGATCTCACCTGACTCAGTACGCCACCCAACTACTACAATACCCTTCTGGCGGGCCTCCCTTCACACACAGTGAAACCCTTACAGATGGTTCAGAATGTGGCAGCCCGTCTGGTCTTCGATCAGCACATGTCACTCTGCTGTTCATCAACCTGCACTGGTTACCCATGGCCACCCAAATCAAATTCAAGTCACTAATGCTTTCCTTCAGAGTGTCTTCTGGGTCTGCACCCATGTACTTGAACTGAATCATATAGGCTTATACTCCTCCTCGGACACTGCTACCTCCTAGGAATGTCTGTCATTGCCATCCCTGCATACAAGGCAATCGCTGTCCAGACTGTTCTTGTTTGTGGATCCCCACTGGTGGAGCGGGGTTGTCCCTCGCTATCTTCAAGAACCTCTTCAAGACTCATCTCTTGCAGGAGCACCTCCTGTGCTAACACCTCTAACACCCTAACATGCCAAACTAGCACTTACTATGCACTTCTTTACCTGATCTCCTTGCACTTATTAAATAGATGTAGTACTTAGACCAAGGTCTCCTGAAGCTTTAGTGTTGTCCCTCACTTGTAAGTCGCTTTGGATAAAAGCATCTGCCAAATGAGTAAATGTAAATGTTAATGTAATATGACACATCATACAAACATGACCCCAACTCTCTCACAAGGACTGATTTCTATCAGGCATTAAGGATTAAACCTTCATGCATAATCTTATCATTATCTAACATATTATAGGTAGATTTTCGAAAAGCCAAATTTTGTAAAGCATTTTGAAAAAAAAGGTTCACTTCCAAACACCAATGTCAGCAAAACAGGTCAACATAATTTCCTCTTTCTTCACCAGGAGAGGCAGTCAGTCTTTCTCCTGACACGTCAACATATATATGTGTGAAGACTCGTTTTCTACACACACTCCACTCTACTGGATATCACTTAGTTTCCGCTGTGTGTGTGTGTGTGTGTGTGTGTGTGTGTGTGTGTGTGTGTGTGTGTGTGTGTGTGTGTGTGTGTGTGTGTGTCTGGACCTTTACTACCCCGTAGGCAGCTTTCTAGGTGACATATCGCCCTGTTGAGCCTGCTTTGATCACCCACGCACAGCAGGGAACAGGAAGGAGGAGAAGGAAGAAATGGGAGAAAGAGGGGGTAGAGAATAGATGAGAAGAGAGAGGAGAGTAAAGGTAGCAAAACGGAAATGCAGGGAAAGAGAGAGATAAGTGAGAAGGAATAAAGGACAGGATTACAGTTTAGAAGATTGGGAGAATAGAAATGAGGCATGAAAGAGCTGAAGCGGTGCAAGAGAAATAAAATTGGTGATGTTAGGGAACACAAAATAGGGAAACAAGTGGACTCCTGAAATTGCAGGTTAGAAAAAACATTTAATTTAGAAAATCTAGCAAGCAAGAGAATGATATCCTCTGCAATTTTTGACAAATAATATGCAATCATCTCTCACCAAATGGGCTAGTGCTCTCCTTTCTAATCTCACCTGTCTGCTAAATCATTTACCTCAGGCAAGTGGAAGAGTTTAATTTTCTGCCCTGCCGAGACTCATTTCCTTGCTAAAGTTGAGCATTCGATGTCGCTGTTGTTGTTCCTGAGCTTGGATGCTAATTTGAGAATTGTTAGGTCCGCTTAGCCTTTGTCTTGAAGTAATTATTGTTTCATACAAGTTAATCTTCTTGTTAGTTTCCTTCTCCAACTACTTAAAATAACCATTTGTAATCAGCTGCCTGCATGGATTTTGAGCACTTCAATATTTGCCGGGAGGAGGAAAACGGCTGAACACAGTGAACTAGAATATTGATTCATTTATCCCTCTGATGAACTCTTCAGTGGTAAAGGTGGTTTCTCTTCTAACTCTATTTTTTTATTCAAATGTTAAGTTTGCAGCAACAAACAAGTTCATATGTGAAATATATTTCACTTGTAATATGTAAACTGGGACTTCACAGGTCCTATTTATATTCTAAGTATACCTAATGCAGTGTCGCTCTTCTCAAGAAATAAATTTAATCTTTGTATAGTAAAAACATTTAGGACAATTGTAATAAGAAGACCAATAATCTACATCAATGTTAGCAGCTCTGTGAGTCAGAATACTTCATCCTCTACTGATGATAAATGTTTGCACAAAGTGTCATAGCAATCTTTCTAGCCTGGAGCAGAGTGGTGCACTGACCGACCAGCAATAGCATTACTAGAGCCATTACCACTAACATGGCTTAACATTACTACAAAGGGTTCATGGTAAAGTTTTAAATGTCTTCAGATAGCTGTAATAGAGGCAGCTACTGTTCAGCTTAACAGTCCTTTGGTGTCAAGAGCCTGCTCTGATAATGAAGAGGCGCGATCACGGTTCAAAGAAAGATGGAAAGGTGATGATGGAGGATGTGATGGAGACGCAGGGTTAATGGCGAGATACGGTTTGTTTTGCCTTTACATTCAAGATGAGAGGTTAGACGAATATCATAAACATACGGTAATCTCCACCAGCTCCTTATCACTGAACCATGAAATGCAGGATGACCATTGAGAAATGATACATGGGATAAAATCTCCAATCTCTGGCTGTTATTACATCTTCAAACGACAGTATGTCTCTGTATGAAGAACCAGCAGCCGAGGGGTGAATGATAAAAAGTGAACTACTGTTACCTGGTGATTTTCACATTTTTAAGGCTCAATTTGTAATCTTATGGTTTATTCAAGAGTAAGATTTAACAGATAACTTAAAGGTATAATATGTAACTTTTCTACATTAAAATGTCCAAAAATGACTAGATCCATGTTATATACTGTGTTTTGTTGAGTTGTGTACTTACACTATCCCAAATATTTCCATCCATTTTCAAACTTAGAGAAATCTGTAATTATCCCCTTTGCACATGCCTCAACGTTGTTGTTGTCTGAGTGGATGGAGGATTTTAGTCATCGGATGTCTGGATCTTAAGTTATCAGTGAAACAAGCTGAGCAAACGTTAGCGGCAGCTCCAAGACTTCCTGTGTCCACCGAACAGCATCTGAGAAACACAGATTGTTCTCAGTGTTTTTACCAGATTTAACGATTTAATGATTGACACCAAAGGAATCCTAACTAGGAGCTGACTGCAATGACAGCAATGATGGTGAAGACATGAACTCCCATGACCACATGCTTCTTCATGACGTCACCAAACACCGTCTGTTGTTATTGTTTTGTTTGAGAGAACCATAGCGGTAGAAAATTCTGTAATGCGCATTTAATGATTACAAATACTTTAAAACACCATTACAGATGTTAAATAACGTTAGTGAGTTAGTGAGGCTGCCATTCAACTGGGGAGTGAGGTTCCACTCCTGTGTCTTCAATTTTAGTGGTGGCGTTACATTTAGATTACAGACTGAGTTTCAGTAAAGGCACAGTAAGAATAGAGAGGAGATATGTGAAGATAAAGAGGGGGAGAGAGAGGTGGTAGAAGGGTGAGAGTTAAGAGATAGTAGAGGTGAAGTGGTAGTACAGAGGGAGAAACACAAAGAGAGGGAGTGTCTCCAGAATGAAAGTGAAAATTGAAAATGGGGGAGAGTAAATTGCAGGAGGGTGAGTGAAAGAGAGAGACGAAACACCCACGAATAGTGAATTTAATTTGAAAGCCTTTTAGGAATGAGAGAGAGACAGAAAACAGGGGAGAGAGACAGTGAGTGACAGAGAGGGAGAGAGGTAGACGGTTATGGTTAAGTGATAGTAAATCTAATTTGATGGCCGTTATGAGGTGAGAGGAGAGTGAGAGACAGAAAGCAACAGAAGCAATGAAGTGAGTAATGGAGGTAGACACATCAGTGTTGTACAGCAGGACAAACTGTTCAGTCCACTACATTATTTTCATTACTGCACGTCTTCATTCAGCGTTCACATGAATCTCATTCAATCTCCTCAAGATACAGTAAGCCTAAACTCTTTCACGTACTGGGAAAACAAATCTGAAGAATTTACTGTTGCTGCCATAACATCTGTAATTCTGTAATTAACAAAAACTTTTTATGATGAAATAACACTGAACAGCTGACTAAACCAAGATGGATGAAGGATTTGGGTTTTTTAACATCTCAGTACTGAGAGGGAAAAAGGTGTTGGAAAAGCAAAACCTTATTATTTGTAACCTTAAAGCAACACAATATCACTCTAATCCATCCCCTCTGAGAGGAAGTGCTGTCATCAGTTTGCAAATGGTAGAATTTTGGGATTAACATAGTAAGCGTGTGTGTGTGTGTGAGAGAGAGAGGGAGAGAGAGAGAGAGAGAGAGAGAGAGAGAGAGAAACCCATAAGCACATTCCATCCCAGACACACTCTGGGCTTAATTTGGAGGTCACACACTGACTGAGGAACACACAAAAACAGAGATTAACATGGGAAGTGTGTGTGATGGATATGTATAGAGGAAAGATGGATGTTTTGAAAACCTGACTTTTCTAAAACAACACACACACACACACACACACACACACACACACAATGGCCATGAGATCATTCATCATGATGGAATGTACAGATTACACACAGGAGACAGGGGCGTACAAACTCCCTCTCTGTCTCTCTGTCACACAAACAGAAAGAGAGAGGGGGGTAGAGAGAGAGAGAGAGAGAGAGAGAGAGAGAGAGAGAGAGAGAGAGAGAGAGAAAGAGAGAGAGAGAGAGAGAGAGAGAGAGAGACTGGAGAAACTAAGTTAAACAGAGAATAACAGGCTACAAAAGAATCAAAACTGCAAGCATCATGGCCTCAATGTCAATGTGTCCACGCAAGTTATGTACAGACTTATAATACTTTATGTTGTTGGATATGATTTTGCCCAGTAGCTATTAATTATTAATATAAAACTGCATCAAGTCACAGCTAAGGAATGTTAATTTTTATTCATTTCACTTTATCAGAAATGATGCTGATGAAGTTAATGAAAACACTCATTAGGATGGAAAATAAAATCTGTACATTGAGTTACATGAAAAGGAGTCAAGTAGCAATTGTATCAGTGTATTAGTGTCTGCTGGATGACTGTTGACCCATCTCAGCGCGACATTCTTCCATCTTCATCAACAAATCAGTGGTCAAGGGGTGATCATCACCGTGAGTGAGCTTCATGATTTGACAGGCCTGGGAAAGTAGAAATAACATAATGCACTTTCAGAGTGTCTCAGCTGTTGTCCCTGCCTCGGCTAAAACAACATGATAAGAACGATGAATGAAACTCTGTCAGCATTTCATCCCTCACACCTGTTTGAATGTGTCCAAAGCGTCCTCAATGTGCTCCAGGTAATGTTGCAGCTTTCCAACTCTCATCAGTTGGACTCCATGGACCGGATGGGGATCAGGGAAGTACTGTCTTTAGAAAGAAGAGAGAGAAGAGAAACTGCTTCACCCAAACCTTTCCACAGATCTGTTATTGTTGTACTCCCATTATGTTGTTGTTCTTCTGGTATCCTGTGTAATGTTGTTGTAATTCTACTTCCCTTCCCTTTTAGCTAAAAAATACTAAACAGAGAATTATAAATCATACACTAGTGTTCAGAATGACTTCATAACGTGATTAGTCTGTAATGCATAATCTATCCTTAAATCTATTTACTCTGTGTCACCTATCCAGGTCCGGGTCATGAGGTGTTGGCCGGTGAAATAAGGTAGTCTAGACATATCCTTAACTTTCCTCCTGGAACATTCGTCATGACCGACTGCCAAACACGTAGAAACGTCTCTCCCTCTGGTTATACACAGCTGGATGGCTCATATCAAAAACCCTGCCACCCCACAACAAACCCTGAGGGACACGATCAAAAGCCACAAAATCTGTGGTTCAACAATCATCCTCAATCTCCCATCTAGCACCTTGATATGAGCTTTCCCAAGGAAGCTGAGCAGTGTGATGCCCTGATAGCTGGAGCAAAATCTCTATTTGAAAAATGGGAACCAGCACAGGCACTGTCCTTGAACTCAACACAACATGAAAATGAGAAGACGACTTTTTGAAATGAACCTGGATTGGCAGTTAGAATTTTATTTTGTGCAGCTTCATAAGAAAATGATCGGACTGAACGGTTTGAAACCATGCAAACTATCCTTACTCAGTAAAACAGACTAGCAAACTGTTATCTCTTTACATGCGGCCAAAAATAAAACCATTTAAATCACATCAAATTACATGATGAAGTTTGATCACTTTCACTTGTGCACACTGGAAGTAGCAACACAGAGAAATATGCACTTAACCGTTTGCCTAAATTTGTCAGTTCGCTTTGTGTCACCCTGAGGCAATCCACTGACACTCGCAGCACAGACCTGGGACAACACGATGACTCAGTGGACAAGACTAATCTGCTTTGCCACTCAGTGTCTGTATGCAAGTGTGATGCATACACAAGTAGGAGTGGGTGAGAAAGAGAAAATTGTCTCCACAGCAGCAAGAAAAAAAGGATAACAGTGTTTGCATTATATGTGTCTGTCTGAATATACTTGCTTGTGTTGCTGCATGTTTGTGTGTTAGAGTTTCCACTTCTCTATATCTGGTACTGCAGCTCTTTCATTCAGCTCTTTTCGTCTCCAGTGTCATTTCTTTAACAGAAAACTCATAGAAGGGTCACACAATGGAAAACATTTCTATCTTTAATTCATGAAGCCAGTTTGAAATTTGTTCAATTAAGATGCCAGTAATTATATGAAAACTGAATTTGTATCCATTTGTATGCACACATTCTCTCTCTCTCTCTCTCTCTCTCTCGCGCGCGCACACACACACACACACACACACACACACACACACACACACACACACACACACACGCACACACACACACACACAAAGAACTGGGACATTCCTGGTCCTATAAAGATGAATACACATCAGGGACTCTTAGGAAGCAGCTTTGTTGTCGGTAAACATTGGAGTTTTCAAAACACACATTTACCCAACTCTGCTTGTCGTTTATCCTCTTTTCTTCTCCCTCTCCATTAATCTGAGCTTCCTTTTCCCATTTCACATCTCCTTTGCTCTGCTCCTACCTGTTTATATTTGTGTGTTTTGCCCCGCTAACTGCAGGGATTAACGCGGGTGATATCGGTCGGCCGTCTCTTCTCTGCCGCTCTCGATTCAATTCCTCTTCTTACCTCTGTTGCCCTTTTAAACCTTCCCTCTATTTCCTGTTCTCTCTTGATTACACGCACTATTATTTTTTTTTGCTAATTTTATGTAACTGCTGTAAAATGGCATTAAAATGCTCTCTGACAAAGCAGAAACCCTTCTCCATTTCCATTCTCCCACTCCATTTAAATAGCCCAGTCTCCCTCTCTCTCTCTCCCTCTCTCTCCAACACAAAGAGCTGTAAGTAAACACAGACTCATGAATACACACATGAATGCCAGCATTGATGTACGAGCGTGCATGCACACAAAGATAAGGTCAATCTGAATCCACTTCACCCTCTATAATCTGGTGTATTTGCCAGATTTCACTTCTCTCCAGAGTAAACAGACCACAAGAGGGTTCAATATGCTCTCAATTCAATCAACTGTAAATAGAAACTGCTTTGCATCTGCTATTAACGGAAAATTCATTTTAATTATTTCTTCATGGACTGAAAACAGTAACTTCCTTAGGCTAAAAGTTTTTCACTCTTTAATTTGGGAGGGGAATGGGAAGGAAAGGAAAATCTGTTTTCTGAATCCAGTGAAATCAAAGTTAATTAACTTGTAGTGGCCACAACCAGAGTAATTTAAAACTCTAGAGCTTTTTTGATAATTTTCCAGCAGTTTGCACTCACAGTGCTAATAGCCCATTTGTTCATACCTTCGAGCCTAACTAAACTACTAACTGACAAGCCTACCAATTACAGAGGTGGTCCCTGATTCTGTGGTTAAAATTGAATCATTAAATAGGAAGTTCAAAGACTAAACCAACAACATTAGTCCTCCATGAATAATAACAAGTTACAATATTGATTTAATTACAAAGCCAGTGATTCAAGCAGCCATGACATGCAAACACACTCACATCAAGACCAAACTCCAATTATATTTCCTCTTTGCATATAGAACCACGCAGCAATTAAAATAATTTCATTAACTTGCTGTCTCCTGAATTCTCCCCTCCTTCCTTCCCGGGAGAGTAAATTGAAGAGAAATACAGTCTTGCTCTATGCAGCTAGTTAGAAAGCCATCGCCTTCAGCTATGAGGATGAGAGGGGGCAAGAAGGAGAAATTAATAGTTGTGGAAAAGTGTAGCATTTCCAGGCAAATGCTGTGGAACTAATGAGGCTCTTGTTTGAAACAAAAGACCCACAGTCTGCTATTTGTGAGAGGGAAACATGGATTATTTTGTTAAGTAGAAAACCGACGAAGGAGAACAAAATCATGAAGGAAACGTTAGCAGTGAGTACTCCCCTAAATTGTATTTTGTTTTCTGTCCAGTGCAACAGTAATTTCATATTTATCTTGTAACCTCTTGGCAGGTCCTGATGCACAGGTTTGGAGACCACCGATTTATACGCCTATCCTTTTATAAGCCTCTCCTTAATACAATATGAAAATGTAGACTCTGAAATCCAAACATTAGCACTGACTACAGCTGACACCCCAGGGGAGTTCTGCATTTCAGCGCATGAATTACGAACAAATTGGTATGCTTTTGGTTGCATTATGGGAAGAGCAGGATCCAGCATTTTGGCAAAAGTTTAGCCATAATGAAGTTAGCATTTCTCTGTAACATCTTTTTTGATCTCTTTTTTAAATGCCTATCTTGTGAGACACCCGACAAGACAAAAAACACAATATTAAATCACTGCAGTACTTTCATTTGTTTTGTCAGTGATTTCCCAGAGTGGCTGTCATCTTCACCAGAGAATGGTAACAACAGTGCTGTATTTATGCCACAGGTTTGGGCCACCGACCATGAACCGTGGTGTCCCAGGTTCATTTCTGGTCAGGGGCCTTCAATCACTGAAGCAGTGATGAAAAAGTTTTAACTGTTGCTCTCTATTAGTGCGGTGCTGCAGAAATCCTTGGGATCTTCAGAAATCTAGAAGAATATTTACTTCCTTTGTGCAAATGCACAATACACTTGTTGATACACATCTACATTTTCACAAATACATGAATGCATTCATGTAATCATGCATGTGTGTGTATGCCTGTGTGAGCATGTCAGTAGCAGTAAAATATGTGCAGCACAGAGACATTCAATAAGCCGTCGTGCATTATTTGTACACTGACGCAGAGAAAAACCCTCACTATACATCAGAAACTGAATAGTAAAAGCAGAAAAAAAGGCCTGCATAGAGAGAGAAAGAAGAAAGGAATACAGAATGAGGGGAAGGACAGGGGGAAAGAGAGAGACAGAGAACTCCTGCAGCTATCTTTCTTCTCTGCCATCTGAAGAGCCCAAAGGAAGATAGGAGATGAATATGGAAGATCCTCCTCCCACTCTCTCACTTATTTCTCCTGAACGGTTTCTCTCTCATATTGTATTTCTCCTTGCCAGGATAACACTCCTGTGCATTCCTCTCATCCTCTTTTTGACCATTTTCCTCATTTTATAATTCACTTTTCTGTTTTACTATTCTATACAACTTTCTTTCTTCACTCTAATGTTACTTCCTTCATTTTTTCCCACTTGTCTTCCCTCCTCTATTCTTGCCAGGTTGTCGGTCGTCCTTCACCCCACACTCCTCTGCCCCTCCTTCATTTTTCTTTTATCTCCTGCTCACTTCCACTCTCACCTAAACCCTCTCTGCTCCCTCCGTAAAACCGCCCACAACCATCCCTCACTTTGGTTTCGCCTCTGCTTCCTCAAGACACATTTTTCTCAGTTTCTTTCAAATGACACTGAACTCTCCATCCCCTTCTTCTCATCACCATCTCTCTCTTTCTGCTTCTCTGTGTCTAGTTATTTATTGATAGGCTGTGCTGCTGTTTCCCTCCTGTGGATATGTTGTTGTCAGAGTGAGAACAAGGCTGTGCCACTGGAGCTCTGCCCCTCACAAAAGATCAATTAGTCTCTCTCTCTCTCTCCCTAACACACACACACACACACACACACACGCACAGGCACAAAAGTAAAATGCGCTGCAGGAGGAGGAGGAGGTTGGGGTGTGTGGGGATTGGACAACCTAAACCAGAAAAAGAAGAGAAAAATGTTGATGCAATTTAGTGTAATCTGACATGCAGGTTTAGAGACTCTGGACCTTTTGAAACTCCATCTGTTTTTTTTAGTTCATTCATTAAAAGATCTTGTATGGTTCAAGTCTACATGTCTACTCATTACATGTGCTCTTATAGTCTTCCTTTCATCTACTCCTGTTCCCACGTAATTTTACTTCTTTCACTGTTTTGCTGCTTCTACCAACACTGAGTGCTCCTCTTCTCTGTCTTTATACGTCTGTTTTCTTCATTACATCACCACTTTACTCACTTTACTTCTCTTTTGATTTCTCCTCTGTACTCTTTTGTTCCTTTCCTCTTTGTGCTTTTAAAAACAATATATTTTAGGTGCTAACTAATTGATGCAAAACAGATAATGATAGGAGGCTAGCCCTGCTATTACATTGCATCCAGAGATTTGAAGACATTTAATTGGGTAGCTGGGCTAAAGAATAACGCACAATTTAAGATTATCTTTTCCAAACACACGTTATATTTTGTAAAATTAGTATGGGGGGTTTTCTTATGCAATAGGATTTCATAAACATACAATATTAAACATACAACTTGAAGCCTATCCACATAATCCTCCATAATCTGATCAATTAATATGTAATGATGTGAATATCTGTAAACAACACAAGTGTTGTCAAATTAGTTCATGTTTTTCTCCTGTTTGTTTTATTTACTTAAACCCTGAAATTTTTCTTTCAGTCTTTTCCCGTCTATCGTATCGTCTTTACACTAACTTTCTAAAACTAGTCCAGATGAGCTTTACTTCACCTACACAGGGATAACACAAGCAGATCCATGTCTCCTTTCCAGGTCAAAGAAGTCAAATGTATTTGATTGGGAAATCTTCTCAGAGTCTTTCTACGCTCAGTGACTGCTTTTATCGCTCACTCTCCACTTCAAACTCTGAAACAAGCAAAGCATCCATTGTATGTTATCAACAGATTACTATGATATACCAAGGAACCCTTGCTTCTGCCCACATCTCCTGAATCTCTGCAAGTAATCTGTCTGAGACTCATAAAATACCATCTGGAAGACTTATGATGACTATGAAGCGTCATGACTTTACTACTTCAAAGTTATTTGAAGTAATAATCCACATAGACAGTTACGCAGATCTACCTTAAGTAAGGGAGTTGCACTTCAGATGCACTCTGGATGAATTACTCTCATCCTCTCCCTTACATCCTTGTCCATACTAGAATCAGGAAGGTGTCTCAGTCCAATATATATCTAGATTTAAAAGGCAGAGGCACCCATACAGGGGTGAAACATACTGGTTTTACACACAACACACACACTGTCTGTCTCTGTCTCTCTGTCTCTCTCTGTCTGTCTGTCTCTCTGTCTCTCTCTGTCTCTCTCTCTCACCTGTATCCTGGAAGTGTCTGCTCCCCATATCTCAAAGCTTCCTCCCAGTGTCCCAGGTGGATGGAGGCATCTAAAGCCATGTCTGTCATTCTGAGCTTGTAGAGATTTTCATCAGGCACGTCACCACCAACGGTTGACAATAAATGACTACAGCTCTGGAGAAGTGCTTGCCAATCTGGAGGGTCACTTAAGGAAGAGCAACATTTATACTGGTGCAAATAAAACCTGCACATTCATAAGTGCATAAGGAAAATCAGCTTTGTATAACATGTGCTGAAATCTTTCTGCATGAGGACTCAAAGCTGTGATGATTGGGTTTAGATACATAATCATTTAATGTCTGTCACTTTCAGTCTGTTGAATTACAGTCGATAAGGGTCAGATTTACCTACATGAAAGCACAGGACATCTTTGAACTGCACCTCGCTTCAAATTTATTGAGGGTCTGATTCACTGAATTAGATCCAAGTATCAACTGCCAGCCACTGTCAGAGCTAACCTCTGAGTAGCAACATTAATACATTGAGACAAATCTACTTTTGCACATTAAGCTGTAATTTAAGACTATAATGAGTGAACTCCTAAAATCTGGCCTGGAGGTGGAGTATCACTCAAACATACCTCTCACACTTTTCCATTTATAATTTTGTGCTTTTGCATGATTGTACTTTGCTGGTAACTTGATTTATATATACCAACAAACTTAGGCCACTCGTTGACTCAAGCATTTGTGTGTTTGGGGTGCCATATCAAATACAACAGTTCTTATTATTTCAAAGCTGTCTATTAGGATAAAAGCATGGTGGTCATCAAGAGATGAATCTCTGAAATGTTTAACGTTTCAATGAGTCACAACAGAGTGCTTATGAAATGTTGTAAGCGGAGAGGCCTCGACTTATTTAATCACCATCCCACAGTACAGAAGATGATGGATGATGACAATGCTTTGTGTCCATTGGATGTAGTGGATCTTGGATGTAAAGGATACCCGAATCGGCCTTTTGTCCTTCCAGTCTGGGTAGAGCCTCCTTCAACAGGCGCCATGTTGCTTCTTCACCAGACAGCATGAGTCCATCCTGGGCAGAAAGTACACACTGATGTCTAAAACAAACACTCTCATGTACATACTTGACCTGTACACAGGCTTACACAGCACCAGTCTGAGGAGTAAACAAAGTGAGCATTGTGTGTATGTGTGTATGCATCTGTGTGACAGATCAACACACACACACACGCACGCACACGCACGCACGCGCGCACACATACACACACACACACACACACACACACACACACCTATGTCAACACCTTATATATGAGTTGTCAAGTCAAGAAGCAAAGTTTAGAAAGTTTAATTTAGAAACTCAATAATACTTAAACCAGACTTAATCTAAATGTAAGTTTAAGATGTTTACATGTCTGAATAAGATTTTTTAAAATAACACTAAAAAATTTTCTTGTTTCATCTTAACACACACAAAACAGCATGCATATGCACAGTGGGGAAAAAAGCAATAACACACAAACACCATCTCCCAGGTTTGATGTCAACAATCATTTGTCGCCATGACAACTTTGGGTCACAGCCCAGCAGCCTGCCATCATCATCTGAAGATTAAAGAGAGAGAGGGAGAATGACAGAAAGTGTCTTTGTGTGTCTGTGCATGTGTTTTATGCAGAACAAAGGTGGGTTGTGTTGTGGTAGAGTAAGACCCAAGTGCCATATGCAGCATATGGAGAACAAAGCTAGAGGTGGAAATGAAGGCAGAGAAAAAAAAAAAGAGAGAAGAAGAAGAGAAAGAAATGAAAACATATAAATTGAAAACAAGACAGTGAGACAGTGGAACTGAAAGATGGAATGCATGAAGATGGATGGAAAAGAAAACTGCAGCTGAAAGTGGGATGATTTTTCTCATTTTTCAGTAAGCGGTCAGAGAAGGTGGCGGGGGTGGGGTGAAGAGGTGGAGCGTGACAGAGTGACAAGGAGGAAGAGGACGACAGCAGGAGATAAGACAGAATGTGAGAGTGAAGGAGGAGAAGGAGGAAAGGACAGGAAAGTGTACACTGTAACACGTTACGCACAGATACACTGTTTAAGTCAACAGTGGCATGGCAGAGGTGTGTGTGTGTTTGAGAGAGAGAGAGAGAGACAGAGACAGACAGCGAGAGAAAGATAGAGTGCATGCAAGTGTGTGTATTTGAATTCCAAAAGTTTCAAGCAAGAACAATTTTTGCAAAGTTAAAATAATAAGAAATTTGGGTTAGGTCTGGTTCAGGGAAGAACACAGTGCAAATTTCTCATCCTGATGAAAATATAAGGGGGTGTGTTAGTCATCATGAGAATGAGGCAGTGATATGTGGATTACTCCTCTAAATGGATTTAAACCACTTTACTGGGAGTTTTTCATATTGCAACATACCAGTGACACACATTGCTATAGTAAGACACATCACTGTGTCAGTTCTATTGTTTTATTACTGACAAGCACTCTCTGGACAAATAGGTCATCTCTGTACATGTTCATGCTAGAGTAACAAAAACAAATTAACAGTGTTTCATGGCAATATTTGCACAATGAAAGTCACACATGTATCCCACTGCAGCCTGAAGAGATCCACAGCAGGGAAACAGGAATACTGATGGGGATGCTCCTATAAGAAACTGATGTAAATCATTTAATCAGGCTAATGCCTTGCTTCATTCTTTTAATTACTTTTAAGGCCAGACTTGGGCTGGCCCCTCCTTCTATTTTTGAACCCCTTATAAGCCACTACGCAGTCTGAGATCCTCTGGTAGTTCACTGTTGGCCATTCCAAGGTCTAGGTTTAAAAACCAAAGGAGACAGGGCCTTTGACGTCAGGGCCCCTAAACTTTGGAATAAGCTACGAGAGGGTTTCGGACTTGCAGAGTCAGCTGCCTGTTTTACCTCGTTACATGCATGTAAACATAGCTAGTGAATTAGTTTTAGTTTTGTGAATGAAAAACAATCATGTGTCTTACTTTGTCTTGAGAGTCGCATCGCTGACAGTGGCAGGTGAAATGGTACTGGTCCTCCAGCTGTCTCTGTCGATCTTCAGTCAGGGATAACGTCTCGATGTAACTTATAGTGAGCTGGACGCAGAGAGAAAACTGTCATTCAATTACATTTTATTTTGCATCTTTGATATGTGTTGCTGTGTTGGCTTTATTACAGATCATGGTTATCCTCAGCTGAGTGCAGACAAATAAGATATTTGGAACTGAAGTTGTGTAAACTGAGTGCAGAGAAAAGAGGTACTGTGTGCGTCTTGGTCCAGATGGCGTGGATGCATCTCATTACATATAGTCAGGAGGGATGATGAAGTATGGAAAACTGGAGAGAACACTGCCAAGTTAGGATGTGTCATGTTTGTGTTGCAGTGATATTTCACTCGGATCCACAGTCTTTAATAAAATTATGTTCATTAGACATCCATCAACATTTATTATAACTTGTGCAATAATATTCAGCCCATGCAGTGATGGAATCTAATATGGTTTCAGATTATGTATCATTAAACAGCCTTAGGCAGTGGCCCCTCCATCAATAACAACAGTGAATAAAAACATTCAATAAATATTGTGAATAAAAAAGCAGCAAAGGCCACATCACAGTCAATAAAAACAGTTACACTCCATGTTGTTAATGTTGTGAAGATGAAGCGTGAGGTTTTTTTTTTTTTTCTTGTTCATACCTCCTCTTCAGGGTTGATATCTCGAACAGCTCTGAGCTGCAGTTTTGTTCCCTCAAACACCATCACACAGTTTGGCCTGCAGTCATGGTTTAATAGAGATAGACTAGGAGAAAGCAAACAAGATGATGAGGGGCAGGAGGGAGAGAGAGCACCAGAGGGTGGGAGGAGGAGTAGTGATGGGAAAAGAGAAATAGAGGGGAAGACATAGAGGAGTGAGGAGGAGGAGGAGGAGAAGAAGATGAATGAAGCAAAGTCAAGAAGGTGGAGAGACAGAGAGGGAATGGATGAGACAGAGAGAGAGATGGAAAGATAAATCAGGAGGAGGGAAAAGAAAAAGGAGGAAATGGTAAACAGAGAAATGAGGAGTGGGAGGAGAAGAAGGATGGAGAGAAATTTATCTGTGATTAAAATGTTCAACTTTCTAATAAATCCTACAAATTCTTCCTGGAAAATCAGCACATGTGTGCGTCCCTTCAAACCACACTGACTGGCAGCTCTTTCACTGAAGAAAAACAAAACAAAACACATCATCACTTCTCATCTTCTGTATCATAGTACGTCTGCAGCATGCTAAATGAGTAGAGAAGACAGACAGCACATGATGAAGGCTGAGACAAATTTTTATCTTGTCTGTGTTTGGAAAATAAAAGAAGAGCCTCATCCTGCTGAGCCACTGACTGCCTCATCTCCAACTGTTTTGGGATTTTTCAAATTACAGAGACCGGTGTTGACTCAAATTGTTATTTGTGCTAACATATTCGATATTCATGAGGAAAACACATGAGTGACACATCTCCCTCAAGATTACCATACACCTATCAGCTAATGTAGTGTGACACCTGAGGGACTTGGTACCCTGTATCCCAAGCACTGTTAGGTGGTTAAATATCATCTGGCAATGTAACTAGCCAAAATGTCAAACCTGCATATGTATGTTAAGACTGAGAGCTCAAATAAACCACACACTCAGGCAAAAAGTTACACAGACACAAACACCGGTAATTCCCTGCACAGTGTGACAAAATGAGTACTCTGCCTCTGTCATAACAAATGTCACTCTCCATTTCTGTCTTTCTTTCAGCCTCACTCCCTCACACTCACACACACACACACACACACACACACACACACACACACACACACACACACACACACACACACACAAATCAGGAAACAATGGGTACTCGACTTCTGTCCCAACAAAGGCTTTTGACTCATTTCCCATATTTGTAACTGATATGGATGTATACTTTTGCTATGGTATAATTGTTGTTTTATATGTGGCCTAATCTTACTGCAGAGCTTTAAAAAGAGCTTTAAAAACTAAAATCATGTTACTATTCTGAATAGTGCCAATTTGCAGTCTGTACATTATGTGCATCTTTCACGTTAAGACGTAAACGTGCTTGCTGATGTTGTGATATTTTTATTGCATTTTAAGACCTCCCTGACCCGTGAAAAGACATTTACTGTCACTCTACACATGGCTGAGAAAAAATACTGAAGAGGTTTGTCTGTTTTTACAACCTGCTCCATTAATGGTGGTGCTCTTATCTATCATATTCATAGAGCAACACAACGGGTGGAAGAGATAAAACTGTGTGCATTGTTTGTGTGTGTGTGTGTGTGTGTGTGTGTGTGTGTGTGTGTGTGTGTGTGTGTGCTCAGCCTTTGTAAAACCATCAGTAACCCCCTGGCTTTGTTCTACAATGGAGAAGTTGCAGGCTGAATATCAACTAGAAATCAAGCCCTCCAAACAATGTTTTTATCTGATGGTGAGCAGCTCATTAGCATACTAATTAGATTAATTAACTAAACCACATCTCACATTAACAATATCTGATCACACAACTGAGACTAACTGTTGCTGTGAGTGTACAGACAGTACAGGACTATTGTGCTTAAATTTAATTGATATTTAATGAGAGAAAAGGTTCAGTACGTTCTTGTCTTTCTCATTGTCGTTTGCATCTTTATTTCTCAGTTAGGGATTCTCGGGCTGTCTTACACATCAATGTGAAAACACCCAGAGTGATACTGTAGTAAAGCAGCAGCACTAGACCTGAACGTTGCGCAAATTTTTTCCATGACTTACAGAAATTACTTAAAGCCAAATCACCTGGTTATAGAAATATATAAAAAGATACACTTAATTTCACCATTTCTATGTTCTGGGAGAACAAATGCGAGCGACTCCTCATTCATTTTCCCACATTATTCTCTCAGGGACTCATCCTGTCTTTAAATGTTGATGGATTCACAGGTTTAAATTTTATTTCTCTAATTAAAAGAAGAGCATAAGGATGTTCGTGTTTAAATGTGGTTGACCCGCATGGTTGTTATTATTCATGTCTCCTAATTAGAGCTTTTCTCAGCACAGTGTGGGTGTCTGAATATGTCCACTTTTGTCATGGTGAAAAATGATCAAATTGTCTCCAGTAGAGCCGAGACTAGAAACACTACTTTACCTAAAACAGACAGATGCTCTCACAGAATAGCACCTTCGACTGGTGTGTAACCCATAAACATCTCTCTGGTCTTTGTGTCATATTGTCAACTAATCTGTTCTTCCTGTTTTCATTTCAGTGTATTTGTGTGAGGATTTAGCTGCAGTTGGGTTTAGGTAACACTGAGGTGATATGAAGCACATGGTTGGAGTAGATTATAACAAGTGAATAAATGTGTGTGTTATCAATCAAGCTGTGAATCGTTTCACTCCTGATAAAGAGCTCAGAGGACAGGATTTTACATCATACTTTCAATAGGCCAATTAGCAGTGAATGAGAGGCAGACAGAGACAGGCACGGAGAAGGATGAGCTTAGCGGACAGGAGAGTGAGAAAGTCAGCAAATAAGAAAAAGAGTTTTTGACATACAGCAGAGAGAGAAAAATGAACAGACTGATGGGGTGAACAGAGGTGTAGCCTTGCCAGAATAATCCCCCTCTTTTCAGCAAACCCATGGTTGCTAAGCAACCTAAAATATGAATAGGCAGGGGACCATCCTGCGAATGGGCCCCATCATTTATGGATGAGTTACGACACAAATCGCACTCACACACTGACATAGACACACATGGTTTTGCTGGGCTCTGGTAAAGCCACTGTGACCATCTGACATCTCAGCACCAGCCAGATAAACTGGCTGGGATACTTGCAGTGTGTGTCTGTGTGTGTGTGTGTGTGTGTGTGTGTGAGAGTGTGTGTGTGTGTGTGTGTGTAGCAACACTAGCAACTGCATAACAACAGGCCAAATCCCACCCCATTCACCCAGGACTCCGTACCGGGATTACAGTGCATACCGCTTTGCTCTGTGAGCGTGTGTTTCACTCCACACACACACACACACACACACACACACACACAGAGTTGTAATATTCTGTCAACATTAATTTTCAAGTTTTCGCCTCAAAACAAAAATTTCCTTCTTCCTTGTACTTGAAAGAACTGCCAAGAAAATAGTGAAAGGATCGGTGTGTGTGTGTGTGTTTATTGCGGTTGGGGGTATGGGTGGGGTTGGTTGGGATGCGTGATCTGGGAGGTAACAGAGCTACATTTACATTTTGTGGCATTTTTGAGAAACAGGCACACTGTATAACAAAGATTATGAGCTAGATTGAAATTAATGATGCAGATGTGTATGCTTCACACATTACCCTTTGTGTGTGTGTGTGTGTGTGTGTGTGTGTGTGTGTGTGTCTGTGTGTGTGTGTCTGTGTGTGTGTGTCTGTGTGTGTGTGTGTGTGTGTGTGTGTTACCTCGGATACAGCCCAACTCCAATCTCTTGCAGCTCTGCGTCACTGATGGTGAAACAATTACATGTCACCTAAAGGAGAGAAAGAGGAAAAACAAAAGTGGAGACAAGAGAGAGAAAAAGATTATTTGTTAAATCGCCTCAGGGAACCAACAGTAACTTTCATCATATGTTCTGAACATTTTTACATATCTGTTGCACCTAACACGACTCGCTTTGAAATTTATAATATTGAGGTACATGGTATAGTAATTGCACTCTATTTATCACCTGGGATAACACAATGTTTCAGTGATCATGTGCACTCATTTTTAATCGAGCATGTGAAATGTTTGTTTTGCCGAGGGTCTGTGAAAAAGAGAGTGAAAAAGAATAAATGTTTAAAGACAGTATTCTTCAAAAACAGACAGACAGAGAGGATAACACTTCACAAAATACATTCAGTAATTCCTTTGGAATAATGGTCTGAAACAGATGTATCACCGTAAAGGGAAAAGGGGGAGAGGACAGGACAGGATAGGAGATGATTAAGACCAGAGGAGGAGTAAAATTTCACATATAACAGCACTATACACTGTAAAACTAATAGCTGTTTAGTTGAGCTAGTTACATGTATTTCAAACTCTATGAAAACCAACAGCATAAACTGAAGAAAGTGACTCCTTAATTATTATTTGCATTTATGTATAAATCTGCCTTAAAATATTGTCAAAATCATCATCTAAGTTACAATAATGAACAATCATAATCTAATAACACACAAATCATTGTATTGTTCTTGTCCACATTGAAAACATCATTTGAACCATAACAGTGTAGGCTGGAAAAAGTTCATCATCCCCTCAGTTCATGACATGAACAAAAGCTAATTAGAGTCAGGAGTTATCAAACCTGGAGTTCAATCAATGAAACCAGATTGGAGCTGTGGGGTTAGAGACACTTTGACTTATAAATAAAACAATAAAAAATTTGAGCTTCTTCTTATTTACAAGAAACATCTGCTGATGTGAAAAGGGTAGAAACGAGTTAATATTAGTTAGTTAATTTGCTTGCATGATTCGTGTTAGCGGACTCTTAAGGACATGAGCCACTAAAGGGAGTGAGGTAGGCAGAGGAGATGTGCAGCTGACATCAAGGTTTAGAAATGGTACGGTCCACTTGAAAATCCAGACATGAATATGGGAAATATATCGTAGCCTAATATTTACAATTATAGGTAGAGCCCTTGAACAGAGATCCTATTCAAGGGCTCCGATTACAGGTAAGTAACTGTTGTATTTACTTCTTTTGGGGGGGGGTCCAAGTCTTAATGAGACTCCAAGTCTTAATCCAAGTCTTAATCAGGGGGGTCAGACCCCCCCCCCCCCCAATCTTCCCCATAATTTGAACCCTGCTAGTGACAGTTGTCTTGTGCCTCTAGTGATGGCTGTGCTGGTTGGTTGGTCCACCACTTTGGTACAGACAAAAATCTCAACAAATACTTGGAGGATTGCCAACACTTTTTACCAGCTGAGTAACTGACACATGAAAGACACAAGTGTCTTTTTTCTAGTGTTTCATTTTTCAGCTTTCCCTTGTTTGTTATTGGATTTAATTATGAATTGGATATTATTAATTAAATATCCAATTTTATTGCGCTAAAATACACACATTACACATGGAGCCAAGCCAATTTTTCCTCCTAAATCAACAACTAGAACTATGACTGAATTTTAGTTTATCACAAATCTAAACATTGGATAAGATTTAACACTTGCATGAATAAACTTTCCACAATGCATCAGGGTGGTCTGCATGATTTAGAGGAAACATTTCAGAAATATATTAGTAAAAGAGCCAAAGCTTTCAGGAGACAGAGGGAGAAATTTCAAATGAGCGAGAGGTGGTCTCTCTCTCTCTCTCTCTGTGTTGAGTTGGTGCAGAGATGTTTCTAATGATGAAATGCCTGAAGAAGTTGTTTAGTAAAGACAGACGAGAGTTGATAAAAGGGAAACCAGCAATAAACACACAAAAACTTAAAAGAAGTTAACAAAGAAGTGAAAGCTAAAAAAAAGAAAAAAACACTAGTGTCTCTGATGTGTCAATTACTGAGCTGGTGCTGGTAAACAAGTGTTTTTCTGTGGTTGTGGTTTGTGTTTGTATGTTGCAGTGGGTGCCGTTTCTCTCTCCCACGCAGGAAGTAGATAAATAAATGTAACTTCAGTAACATTAGTATTCAGACTGTCAGAGAAGGAGGCAGACAGTCACAGAGGCATGCAGAGAGGGAGGGTACAATTTACAGTGAGCCACAGACAGATGTTCCCCGTCCTGCTGATTTTCACACCAGAACCAGACCTCATCAAACTGATTTGACTTGAATCTGCACTGGTAATAAACACCATTAGACTCTGTCCTCATGAGATATGAGGGTTTTTTACTCAACTTATTCACCACGGAGCCGAGGAGGGAACGTGATGACATAAAAACACTGAGACGCACACATAAATCTTTCCTTCTTCATCCCACACACACTTACACACACTTCATTGTTAGTCAGTTGTTCTCATAGAGATCCATCATCAATGCTTTAAGCGTGCATTAATGTGCAGGAGACAGATACATCATATGATATGGCAATATATTGAATACAAATAACAATACAGTAAGTGTTTTCAAGTAAGTAGTTGTCACCCTTAGCAGAAACATGGGCCGTTATGAGTCCAGGCCCAAAAAGTAATTTTCTGAGAAATTTGTCTCAAAAAATTAAAGGAGTAATTCTGATTTCTTTGCTGTTATCAGTGACAAAATATGTATGAATATGAAAATTAAACATAAAAAAATTGCATAAATTGTAGTATACATGATGCATGTTGTACTGTATGTCTGTATCATGTAAAGCAAGAGAGCCTGACATGGGGGGGTTATGAAGTGAACAGAGAATTACAAAAAAAAGTGGTAGGACACTCCGCTGCGTATAGATCCTTCTCTGTCAAACAGACTCACACACACACACACATCTCTCTCTCAGGGGATGAGAATCAATCTAGCAGAACATCCACATCTGCAGAGCCGGCTGGTGGACGCCTTTTGCATCCCAAATACATAAACATAAACACATGCACAAGTGGGCCTCACGGTTTTACAGAAACAGTACACAAAAACCACTTATGGATAATTTCCTAAATGCTTCTATTTGACTCCCATGGCTTCATCTTATCTTTCCTCGACCCCCTTACCCCCATCTTCTTTTCTGTCCGCCTCTTCATGAACTCCAGTTTCATCCACTAGAGCTACCCCAAAATATTTAGTGAGGACTGGAAGTGGACGACAAAGTTCTCCAACGGAAGATGTGAACCACTGTTGAATCTACGATACTCTCACCTGCTGAACAATGGAGAAAATGTTGTACAAATTACATGTATGTGTAGTTGTCTTCAAATACGACGTTAGACAATGAATCGTATGTTTTCCTTAAATTGCTTTTGGAGGTGGCTTTAGAGCTGAAGCAATTACTTCAACAACTATTTCACATTTTTTAATCAAAGATGCCAAACAGAAAAATTTGGTTCTAGTTTCTCTAATATGAATAATATAATATGATAATATGAATATTTTTCTATTTTTTATGATAGTAACTTAATATCTTTGAGTTTTGGACTTTTGGCCAAAAGAAGCGATTTGAAGACGTCACACTGAGCTCTGGGACATTAATGGGCATTTTTCACTATTAATTAATTACTATCAATGAAGAAAATAATTAGCTGATTAATCGATAATGAAACAATCATTTGTTGCAGGAGATGTAGTGAGGTTAAACTTTTTCACTTTGTTCCTACACTTCCTTGCCTGTATCTACTTATTCTATTATCAAGTGAATGCATATTTTTAATCAGCTCAAAACCTAGTCTAGTCTAATCTATAGTCTGCTTTGGAGATTTGAGGCATCCGCAGAGAAACAGCACATAATAAAACCACCACAGCTGGGCAAACATATCATCCACCAGTAACCATGGTGATGGCCATTTCCTTCTCATGATAAGAGCCTCCTACAGTTAACCTGTTTATTTATAACCTCCCCATTAATAGATAGAGCGAGTATAGGTTCATATGAAGTGACATTGTGTTGAAGTGTTAGTGAGGAGGGACCAGTTCTAGGAGAAGGCCAGTGAGAGATGTTACAGTGTGTGGAGAGCTACTTTCTATCCATCTCCAGTGAATGAATTGTATTCCACCAACTGGAACGAAAGGAGCTCGCCAGCAAATAATAAAGAAGAAATTCTTAACAGCAGGTTCTTAATGGGGATTACAGGCCTGATACATATGATTCAGTCACTGCCTTTGTGGAGAATTACACAATTACTGCATTTGTACAAAAGATAGTGCATTTTGTCTGCAAAGGCTTTCTTCAGAATGGTGCAGAAAATGTCAGTCCCTACATCCATTCATTTGTTTGCTCATTTATTTTCCCGCCTGTCACACCCAATATTTCTGATGATTAGATTTGGATGAAAAGTGTAGAAATTACGAATGTGAGATAGAAGAAGAGAAACAAAGACAGGCAAATGAGTGAAGGGTGTGGTGAGCAGCCTGTGATGTGGAAAATGGAAAATAAGATCAAAAGCACCCCCTGTATCCAAAATGTCATCTTCTGAACGGAGATTATAAAAACAAAAAACTGCACTTTTTCAAGCTGATGGTAAATTTTGGACTTCATACTGTAGCTTCTGAAAACACTGTGGTAAGGTTTAGACTAAGAAACACCATTTAGCTGTTACATTGTCACATAGATAAGTAACTACTACACTGACTTTAAGACTTCAATACTGCTAAAGAGAGAAAATGTTTTAAAAAATAAGAAGTTAAATAGTCAGCGAGAGTGTCCGTTATGTACTGCACACCTACAGAGCTTTAAGAATAAATTTGCCACCTTATCTATAACTAAATGGTAACAAATTTTTAGGGTAGACTTGTCGTTAAATGGATAAAATGATACTGTGTTAATTTCATAACTTCAACATCAAACCACCAGAAGCAAATCTAACTCAAAATCTTCATTGTAAGTGTGTCCACTGCTCCTCTTTGTCATCTGAATA